AGTCCACCCAGTAGCAGCAGCGGAAGTAGTTCCAGCAGTGGCAGTAGTAGCAGTCGAAGTAGTTCGAGCAGCAGTTCCAGTACAAGTGGCAGTAGCAGCAGAGATAGTAGCAGTAGCACTTCTAGTAGTAGTGAGAGCAGAAGTCAGAGTAAGGGCCGGGGACACAATAGAGATAGAAATCACAGAAGGAGCATGGATCAGAAGAGAAGAGATACTTCAGGACTAGAAAGAAGTCACAAATCTTCAAAAGGTGGTAGTAGTAGAGATACAAAAGGATCAAAGGATAAGAATTCCTGGTCTGACAGAAAGAAATCTATATCAGAAAGTAGTCGATCAGGCAAGAGATCTTCAAGAAGTGAAAGAGACCAAAAATCAGACAGGAAAGACAAAAGGCGTTAATGGAAGAAGCCAGGCTTTCTTAGCCTATTCTTTGCAGCAGATTTCTTGATGAGTAAAAGGATTATTTTTCCTTGTAAGGAGGATGCTGCCTTAATTGCATGTTGTAAAAAATCTTTTTCAAAAATATGGACTGTTTGTTTACCAGACATTCTTGTACTTTTTGCATAATTTTGTAAGAGTTATTTATCAAAATTATGTGAGGTTCAAAATATGTAAAAATAATAATAATAAAAAAGATTAACATCCCTTGTCATCTTTTTTAAATATCCTATACTCCAGTAAGAATCTGTATATTTTAATAGGTAAATCTTTAAGTCTGGTCCCTTTTAATTCTGTATCATATATTGCTTTTGTAGAAATAAATGTGCATTTTTTTTTCATTATTTTTGGGATGTCCTTGTTGACACTTGTATAATAAATATTCACTTAATATCATTTTCAGCAGTTATCACTAGATACTGAACATGATTAGAATGTTTTTTGAAGGTTTCCTCACTTTTGTTTGCCTTAGACAATTATTTTGAGTTGTCAAGAATTGGATCTTGCACCTTTGAGGGGAATGTTCTCTTTTTAAATCACTTACTATTTCCCAGTCTTCCTTGTTTTGGTTTAGATACCTTAAAACCGTGATTCAGTTGACATTTTTTCCCTAGTCATGGGAGCATCATTCTTTTACCTTTATGGTTACTTGTGTGATCCTGCATATACATCTGTTAAAATAACTGCTTCTTTCTAGGGGAGGGAGGTAGAAAAGTATCTTCTAAACTTGGTTTTTGAGTTTGTGGTCTTGTCTTAACTTTTGTGTTGGCTCTAACTGAAACATGCCAGTATGTGTTTTTAAGAATTTTTGTTTAAGGAAATATTGTATGAAAGTTTACAAAACGAAGGAAGTTCATCTAGACTTGAATATGTAAGCAAGATAACACACAAGTGTACCAAGTGATGATTAACTTTGTTGTTTTATAAATTTGTATGAACTTGGAGTGTCTGTTGCCCATTACTATACATGTGCAAATAAATGTGGCTTAGACTTGTGTGACTGCTTAAGACCAGTACTTGTATTAACTTCCTCATGCTTTATAAAGGAGAGCACTTAAACTGCAAATAGCCTTTCTTTTTTGTAAATTATGTATTAAATTTTACTTATTTATTTTTAATTTGACAGAGAAGAAGAGGGGAAGTGAGAAAGTAAGCCACCAGGTCCAGGACTCGAACCATGGTCAGCCATGTGGGAGTGTCCAGCACCTTAACCACCATGCCATCTGCTGGTCCCCAAATAGGCTTTTTTTCTTTTCTTTTTTCTTTTTTTTTTTTTAAGAGGTTTTTGCTATAGAGTGTGTGCACTCACCAGAAAGAGAGAGACAGAGTGAGAAATCACCCTCCAGGGGGGATGGCCACGCCACAGTCCCTTCTCCATTCTTCTCTTGGGTTCTTGGGCACACACGCGTGCCCGGCATGAGTTTAAGCCACCGGTTCCGGCACTAGAACCACGGTCAACCACATGGGAGTCCAGCGACATAGCCATTACGCTAACTGCTGGTCCTGCCTTTTTTGATTACATAATTTTAGCATCATAGCTTTGGGCTTGACTTTTAACATTCATTGTTGCCTTCTCTTGACAAGTAAAGGGTAGCAGTAAAATGCGAACAAGCATTTTTAGTTTTTTTTCCTGTAAAAAACCTGTGTCCTGACTTTTCTGACAACCCAGTAGTTGGCTGTGAGATGTGTGCACTCAAGAAAAGAAGTGAGAAATCCCCCTCCTTTCCCCTCCCGGGAGGCGATGGTTCTCCACTAGGGATTTGAAGCAGGCACACACATGTGACTAGAGTGTTTTCCAGGCTACCAGGTCCAAGTCTTAAACCATGCAGTGTGAGTCTTGTGGGATCTAGCCACCTTAACCACTGTGTCACCAGCTGGCTCCACAGTGCTTTGCATTTCTAAATTAGAAGGTTTAACTTTTTAAGTTAGACTTTTAGATTTTGATGTTTCCAATTTATGAAAAGAACTTTAGGAAACTCGATGCTGCAATCCTCCAGCCTCCATAGGTTTTTGTCATAGGGCGGGCACCACCACGCCCAACTTTAGAAAACTAAAGGTTCAGAGAACTATGGAATCATTTACTTGAAAAAACTATAAATAAGTTAGACTGTAAAAATAATTGTTGCCCAGGGGAACATGACATACAGGGGTCCTGTTAAAAATTACAGGTTAGTTGGGAACCAGCAATCAGTGTAATGGCTATGTTGCTGGACTACCATGTAGTTGACTGTGGTTCAAGCCCTGGACCTGGTGGCTTAAACTCTCACCAGGCGCGTATGCATGCATGCCCAAGATCCTGAGAGAAGGGATTGCAGCTTGGCCATCCCCCCTGGGGGATGATTTCTTGCTTTCTGTCTCTGTCTCACTCTGTCTTTCTGGCAAGTGCACACGCCCTATAGCAAAAACCTGAAAAAATAATTACAAGTTAGTGTTGGAAAATTTAAGAGTCAAAGGTGGGAGGGGATGGGCTGCTGAGGACTAAAAGCAGTTGAATGAATCTTAATTAGCGGAGATATTTACTCTGAGGTTCCAAGTTGTAGGCAGCCACTTAAGTTTTGATCTTCAATAAGATGTATTTCTAATCTAGAGACCTATAGATTGTCTGGAAAGTCATAACATATTCTGTTTTTCTGTATAAAACTACATCATGGGAACCAGCAGTTAATGTAATGGCTGGGTCGCTGGATTCCCACGTAGTCGACTGCGGTTCGCATCCCAGACCCGGTGCCTTAAAACCCAAGCCGGGCGTGTGTGCGTGCGTGCCCAAGATCCCAAGAGAAGGGATTGCAGCGTGGCCATCCCCTCTGGGGGGTGATTTCTTGCTTTCTATCTATGTGACTGTCTGGCGAGCACACGCGCCTTATAGTGAAAAACCTCTCAAAAAAAAAAAAAAACAAACTACATCCTGACTTTCTAGACCCAGTATATACTAGCTATAGAATTCTGGTAAGTGTCTAGACCAAATGTCATAATAGTTATGTCACTGGACCTCCAGTTCAGAACCTGGTGGCTTAAAACTCATGCTGGGGATCAGCAAGTGATGTTAAGGCTCTAGACACCACAATTCGAGTCCCGGGCCTGGTGGCTTTTCTCATTTTCTCTCCAGTCAAAAAATGATGGGACCAGCAGTTAGCGTAATGGCTATGTCGCTGGACTCCCATGTAGTTGACCGTGGTTCGAGTCCTGGACTCAGTGGCTTAAACTCACACCAGGCACATGCATGCCCAAGATCTCGAGAGGAAAATGGAGAAGGGATTGCAGTGTGGCCAAATCCCCCCTGGGGGGCGACTTCTCGCTTTCTGTTCTGTTTTTCTGGTGAGCGTATGCGCCCAATAGCAAAAACCTCCCAAAGCCCCCCGGGGGGGCGACTTCTCGCTTTCTGTTCTGTTTTTCTGGTGAGCGTATGCGCCCAATAGCAAAAACCTCCAAAATAAATAAATAAATAAAATTTTTAAATGATAATAAGTAGTTCTTTTGAAAAAACACCCTGAGCATGGGGTTTTATCTCTCTCCAGTGAGCACACATGCCCTATAGCAAAAATCTGTTAAAAAGTGTTGATAGTAACATAATTGCTCAGGTCATTTGGGCTAAACAAAACACCAGAGCAGTGTCTTTACATAAATTTCAAAGGAAAACTAGATCATATGGCTCAATGTTACTAGAATAAGATTAGAGTTAAAGAACAGAACTTAAACATGAATTAGAAAAGTTTAGGAGACAGGCCAGCAGGTAATGTGAATAGTTGTAGGCTCTGGATTCCCACATGGCCAACTGCAGTTTGAGTCCCAGACCTGGCAGTTTGCTTTCTCTTTCTCTGATCAAATTTAAAAATGATAATTATAACAAATGGAATTAAATAATTACTAAAAAATTTTAGGGGCTAGCAGGTGGCATAATGGTTAAGATGGTGAACTCCCACATGGCTGACCGTGGTTTCAAACTCCAGACCTGGTGGCTTCTTTCATGCTTGCTTTCTGTGAGCACCTGTGCCCTGTAGCAAATTAAAAAATAATAAATCTTAAAGTTTTTTTCAAATCAGGAGCCGACAGGTGGCATGGTGGTTGAGGCACTGAACTCCCACATGGCTGACCATTGTTCAAGTCCTGGACCTGGCAGCCCAAAAACTATAAAAAATAAATAGATATTAAATAAATGTATTTTTCCCCCCAAATCAGACTAAATAAGCTTTAACCCATATTTCCCTTTGGAGAGAAAATACCATTAAAATACTTATACAAATTGTGCTAGCTGTTTACATGGGTGGATCCTAGCTAAGGTCAAGAGGTGAGTCTAACTTGGTAAAAATAAGCCTAAGGTATTGTCCTAATGTTTTTTCTCACCTTGCATGACTTTTTCAGGAAAGAAAGAAAAAATGTTCAAATGCCTACAACTCTTTGCTTCCCATTGCCATTTGACTACCTATTTAAATTTATAACTGCTGGGGGCCAGCATGTGGCATAGTGGTTAAGGCACTGGATTCCCACATGGCCAACTGCAGTTCAAGTCCCAGACCTGGCATCTCGAAAATCATGCTGGGTGCATCAGGTGCTTGTGCCTGTGTCCAGAATCCCTGGAAAAGAGATTGTGGCATGGCCATTCCCCCAGGAATGAATGATTTCTCACTTCTCATCTTTCTCTAGCATGCATGTTCACCCTATGGCAAAAACCTAAAAAAAAAATAATAAATAAATAGTAACTGCTATTACTCCCAGCTGTCACTTCTCATTTTCTGCTTTATTCTACTACATTTAGCACTATATTATGCAATCATACTTTTGTTCACTGCTTCCCAGGAAAAAAGCAAGCCCTGTGACAGCCGAGATTTTTCTTTTTTCCTGAAGCATTTGCTCTCTTCTAGATACCTAGGATAGGACCTTGTGTATAACTGGCATTCAATGTTATAATAAATGAATTATGACAGCTCCTTCACTGAGCTTAGGTGATTTGGTCTCTGCATGTCTTTCCAACTTGAGTTCTTGTTTCTTGGCAAGAACT